AGGGTCTTCAAAAATTCCGGTGTTCAAATTGTTGCTGTACGACAAATACGCGGTTCCCACAGCTGATAATGGTAATGGTAAGAGCTTTGTCGATCTGGCGTACGCAGATGACATCGCCCGCATCTTTGAAGACCAAAGCGAAGCACAGGCCCTGTTGAATAAACTGACCACCATCATACCATCTTTTGGTATGCGCCTTGCACGTTCAAAGTGCAAAGTCATGCTTCAGAGCGTGTCATCTGCGAACATACCCCTTACAATTCAAGGAGAATCACCGAAGGTTGTGAAGAATTTTACATACGTCGGTACTTGTATTAGTTCTGATGAAGTCAGTACGAGAATCTCAAAGGCACGAATCGCGTTTGCTAATTTGCGTCACTTGTTGCGTCAACAAGGTATCTCACTAGATCTTAAGGGTCGTGTGTACCAGGCTACAGTAGGGGCTGTGTTATTGTATGGGTGCGAGACGTGGTCTCTGCGGACAAATGGTTTGAGGCGTCTCCGGGTATTCGACCACCAATGCCTCAGAAGTGTGGTTGGTTTTGGATGGCGTCAACGTTTGAGTACGAGGTGATTAGAAAACGGGTATTCGGTTGTGCGGCAGGTACTTCAATCGGGGGAAACATCCAGCACCATCAACTCCGGGGGCTGGGTCATGTGCTACGCATGCCGAAACACCGTCTACCGACACGAGTGTTGTTCTCCGTGTCTCCTTCAGGATGGCGCAAACCGCGAGGTGGACAATGCATGACTTGGCGGTGAAAGAGACCATGAAGAGTTTGGGTGTTGTTGGTGCTGTACTCCTTCCAGGATGGGGTTCCCGTGATTTCACTTGTGCTTGGCTAGAGACATTACAAGAATTGACAACTAATCGATGTCAGTGGCGTTTGTGCTGTCAGTTTTTTCCAGATTGATTGAGCGAATGTAGGTGTAGGCACCTCAGAACGCTTGACATAGGCCAGCACTAGGTCCCCTCACTCACCCACTCTTTTCGTCTTCTTTTCACTCGGGTTTTAAATATAATTAGACGAACTTTATGGTTGTGCGGTAGTGAGACGTCAATGTCAATTTTGATCTTGCTATCATTGCTCGTGCTGATGTATGATGATCCTTGTGGGCGATATGAATACCCAAGTCGGTGGTCTGAGCTCCTTGGAATCATATCTGGGCGGTCAGTTCGGAGTCATTGCTCGTCGCACAGACAACGAGGTGCAACAGCACCCAACAATGCTAGTCTTCCTTCACTTGAAAATTGCCTTTGACTTTTTCGCAATGTCTCTTGAGCAAAGGTGTCTTAAGGCACGGTACGCCAACATCGTCATTGCGCTTGAAATGCTGCAAGACATTCGCTCCCGTATTTCCAGTAAGCACACGAGATAGTTCTTGGCTTCATAGCCATTGTAATTCAGACAACACTTGGTATCCTAAGTAATTCAGCCTCACGGTCTGTTATACGCTTCGTAACTGCAGTGTAGAGTGCTGCTGCAAGACCTCCGATCTCGTGCTTGCGAATGAGTCAATTGAGGTAGTAGACGATTTGTCTCCGACAGCTTTGTCAGTCCGCATAGTCAAGCCAAAGACGATATTTCCATCCGAAGTGTGAACCTGTATAACCTGTGGCTGCGGTTATCAGTCAGCTTATCTATCAATGGTTTAAAATCCTGGAGTGTGCTCCATACTGTTGTTTGGGTCATAAGCGTGGCAGCTGCGCGCTGAGGCGTTGAAAATTTTCAGTGTTTGGCTATCACTGTTTTCGAAGCGTTGCCCTAGTGTGGTGGAAACATCGGATCGGTAATACTGAAGTATACCGAACAGTTTTCGGAAGAAATAACTCGCCTACTGATCTAACTTCATAAGTTTCTCTGGCTTGTGTCACGTGCTCCTATGCCAATCGACCGTCTTCCTCAAAGAGGCCTTTTTGCACCACCACATCAGGGATGTCAAGCGATAACATGGCAACGAAATATGAAAGCCATTACCGGGAACCTTGGCTGCGCTGGTCATTACCGTCTCCTTATATGCGGATCACGTGACAGGAAAAATCAGTGGTTAGAAGCATTGTGAAGCAGCTGCGTGGTCAGTGGCGCGCACTTATCCAAGCTATTGCCTTCAATGCCTAGCTTCCCCTCGGTCTTCCCACCCCTGTGTTGATGCATCAATTATATAAGCTACCGCCTCCAATCTACATTTCTCTGCCCAACCTCTCCATATGATCCATGAACGAAGCTGTAGCAGCTATAGTCACCGTACAACATGTACTCGGTTTTTATAGCTGAAGTTGATGTAAATGATGTCAACTTCATTAAGCCAGTTTGTGGTGATTTTATTGGAATCGCCATTCATAACGGGTTGATAGTCACTCGGACTGTTCTCGGGTTCTTATCCCAGACGTTGTGCACAAAAGCTTGATGGTGGCGTTTTGGAGAACTGAGGGTCCTCTCACTCCGAAAATGCGTTCGCTCCCTGAAATTAATTTTCAGTGCAACATCGTTTTCGGAAACATTAGGTCTTGTGGTGTAACGTCCTTAGTTTGGTTATTCCTGTTCCCTCTTATGAACCACCCATAGACCTTGTTACAGTTGTCTCTTCTGGATGGTCTACCAAATCCTCACTTTTATTTGGCAACCGTAGTCAAATATTCCATTTGTTAGGAAATGCCTTACGTCTATGTTCTGTACTATTCTCTTTCTGTTTTGTCCCGTTCAAAATACAACTCTCATGCAATGGGAAATGAATGGGATGTCATGAGTAGTGTTGGTGCAGAATCCAATTAACCGATTGAGGTTTACCCTCCAGATTTTCCTATAGTCCTGAGATCAGTCTGATACCTTTCATTTTCTGCTTCATCTTCTCTTGCGCTGTTTGTGTGGTGCTTCCCATTTCTTCCCTCACTTAAAGGACATTATCTGCGTTAAATCCTAACCAATTTTGATACGTTGGTCAGTTGTCACACTTTTTCATCGAACACAATCCAAAAAGTAACCTAACTTCGACGTCGTATTCATGTATGCCGGTGGGATGTGTATTCGGCATCCGGAACCGGACGAAACTAGCCTCATTTGTCCCGACCGCGCTCAGACAACCCGGAATTGTCTCAACCCTCTTGCTTCCTTCAAGAAAACAATGCACCCAAGGAACGCCACAGCAGAAAGATCTGATTCTGTTAGGATCGGTATTCCCGCGTGGAACTAGAGCCTTTTGGATGGTATATACCAAATACCTGTCGGTTTTCACTGTAGAGAGCCGAAAAACTGCACTCCAGTACGAACATTGGGATCTAATTTGACCGGATGTTTGAATGGCAACTATCCTTATCGGAGGTAATGGCTATTGTGTGTTGTTCGAATGGCTGGACCAAGCTACATGGTGGAGTAAAACTGACGGAGCTTAATGCCTAATTTTACAGGTTGTCTAGAGCAGAGATTTAGGGTAGTTCCTAAAAAACATTTACTCGAGATTTCCTTTATCCTAATTCCTTAGGTGGTGGGGTCAGCCATATCAGCAGCGTGGAACTATCCTGAAGAGTCCTAGTGAGAACGAAAGGACTCATGTGACTGAGCTTTTAACCTTCCGGACACATGTTTACTTTATTCATCCGGCAAAGCCAGCTAGCGGAAGCAATTCGCCCGTCACCTAAATGGAACAACTAGGCAGTTCGAGCCAAGTATTAGATAGCTGCGGTAACCGTCGAGCAATGTGTCTAATGAACTATCATGCAACCACTGATATAGTTGTAGGTTAGGCCTAGCAATCTAGCATAATCATGGAGCTCAGTGATTAAGGTGCTACCTTGCTGGCCTGAAGGTCTGTGGTTCCAGCCCAACTTCGGCACCTCAACGGCTCCTGTCGAGCCTTGGACAACCTGGCACTCTACCCTCATGCTTCTTTCGGTTAGCATGACAGCTAGATACCGAAGGGGTGTTACAGCTGAACAAATATTAGTATTATTATTTTAACAGGATCGTGTGCGACCTTTGGTTGCAGTCGTAAAATACAGGGGATCTCCAGAACGGTGAAGCTGAAAAATAAGGGAATCTGAGTTCTTGAAATAGTTCAGACTAGTTGGTGAGAACACGACACTAACGGGAAGTAGCGTGAAAGCAGGCGATGAAGGCAAATTCATTCGTATTATGTCGCCGCAATGTCTAGTCAAAATATTGAAGGAATTAAAAACGATTATGTAAAGACCAGTGAGACAAGCAAATTCACACAGATTGCTCGGCAACGGGTGTTCAGGACTTGTGAATTTAGCTACAACCCGTGTGGCAAAGGCACACTGGTTCCGGCTGCTACAGTTTTGATCACCGGATAGTGGGAGTGTGGGATAGAGCCAAATCCTGAAGGCGATAGCATGTTCAGTTCGTGGACTGGGTAGCTACGCATTGAGGGTGATGGCTTTGATACGTGAGCGCCGCGGACTGCGCAGATGGGCCATTTCTGTTAGTGTCTTTAACCATTGATAGTCTGAGTCCCGGAGTTCCCATCCAGAGGGGCTGCATCTGTCGATCCGACTAAGTTTACTGGTTAATATGCGTGAATTTACTGAGCGGATTCGGTAGGTTTCTTCGGGAGATTACTACTTTTTAGTTTACTTCTGATGTCCCAAAGACATGCTGATTTTAAACAGGCACTCCGTAACGAGCTTGAATAGAACACTGTTAGCAAGTTGCCCCATAGTCCGGATGTATTTCACTTCATCTGGTCAGCGAAAATGTGGAAGAACCATTATTCATACTGCCGGAAGAGAGTCAAGGTCAAGTTTTGACCGTGTTTTGGCCACCAATGCTAGTGACTCGGCTCTTTTTGTCGACGATCTACAAACTGTAGTAATAGATTGGTAATCGGAAAACACCTTTCGACGTCTCTGTCGATCCGATTTTGGATTCAAGCAAACGATTAATGGAACGCGCCCCTTTGTGTGCTCAGATTTGTCTCACTGGATATATTCCACAGGTGCTTTGTTTACCCATTCCGATCCGATCAAATATAGAACAAAGTAAGAGCTCTCCTAATGTTTTTTCCCACAATTGTGCATTACTCATTAAGACTCCTTCAGTATTAGAGGTACACAGGTTTTCCACCGTTGTGCGCAAACAGACCAACAACACTGGGTTTGTCGTAGTCGTATCCGAGATTGCTCACGTCTGTGAACATGTCACTGTTACGTGCCAAGGGGAGGATGGCTGCCAAAAATGCATCCCGTTTGTGGCCTGGTCGAACATCGTGGTTAGGGTAGGCATCGAAAGGTGGTTTGTGTCGGCGGTACCACATCTACAATTACACAGAATGAGAGATTGCGTGAGACGTTAGTTCATAACGAGTATCAGTGAATTTCAGATCATGAGCATTATGGTTGGAAAGCTGCCTCTGTTTTATGTACGACGCTGATCAGGGTTCTGATAAAGGTCAAAACGGCATCAGGTCAGTCAGATAGTCTATGCCAAGCTGTCGGTCTCTTCACCAGTAAGCACGGCTGGGTAGCCAAGCCGAAAACCCAAGACAAGCAGGCCGACATGCTAACCTGCACCTTTTGTAATACGTCTAATATGAATATTAGGACGTTATTTATTCCTCTGAAGCATCTCCATTGACGGGACACCTTTCACTTTGCGGGCATTTTGCACGGGACCACGGGAGGGCATTCCTCTATTCGGAGGGACATTCCCTCGATGTAAACAGGGGACGTTAGGCTACGTTGGTTGTGGTAACTTCACTGCCGAAGCAAGAGAACCTCATGATTTTTAGATATATTCACAAACTATGTTCGCTCAACCGGCCTAGATATTGTAACCTACTGTACAGCTGCATTTTAGATCACAATGGACAACTGATTTGCGTTCGGATAACTAGATCACTGCGACCCAATCGAATGGGGCACACGCTCATCTGTGGTCCTACAACAGGTACAATTTTAAAGCAACCTGGACGGATTTTCAATGAGAAGAACTTCAATCTGTGTTCACATGCATATTTCTTTCGATAAATCGATGGAGCCACGTGTCAAAATAGTTTACCACAAATTCCTAATTCGACGGATTCCGTACCGGTTCGATTTCGCCTAGACACTGTGAACTCAGCAAACACAAACTACAACAATCCCCCTCAAGTGGGACCATTTTTCTGAACTGGGTCCACTTAAGTCGGTTCACGTCAGAGTTAACTTGAGGTTGGTGACTGTCGACCTCCACCGTAGAGGGGGATACGAATTTTGGTAATTGGACGTTGAAGCATTTCGACGCCAGTTATGTATCCGAGCAATGGCATTCAGATCAGTTGGCGTGATTGGGGTGCTATAACCTAATCTAATTTTTACGGCACAACTTGTGTATGACCACTCATGAGATCCAATAGCGAACTGTCTCATAAGATTGTAGGTGCAAAAGATATCCAAATCGGACGGTTCCATACAGACAGTCTCTAAGACGAGATGTACTTTTCCACTTTTTCCCTGATGAAACAATTTAACTGAGTCGAAGGTGATTGATCTTTTTGTCGTCAAAAGCGTACATACAAGCACATCCAAATTCCTCGGAACATGAACTTGAAAATTCTTTCTGGATTTACGATTTCCATACTCAAACACTTGCCTTAATAGAGATCCGGTTGGTAAGTCAGGTGATCTAACGACATGTCATGATTCAACACTACCGTGCCGTGCTAGTGCCGTAGACTTTCTCTTTACTGGAACATGCATTCATACATTTCCTGACCTCTGAAATTTTGAAAGGTGAACAAGTTTACACTGGGGTCACTTGGGATCATGCTTTCTAGTCGTTGGGGGTGGGGTAGCGTATCTTTTGCTTTCCAAACGCGTGTGCTCCCGTTAGATAGTCGATGTGAGTGAGCTAAGCAGTTATAGGTAGACGTACCATTCATTCTGATATGTTCTGGCATCTGTAAATGCGGATTGAAATTGACCAATAAGAAATGCAGCTTTACCCTCAGTGGCCCACATACTGATATTTAAAAAAAAAACTACACGTGATCAGGCGATGGCTGTGGTTGTTAGCCTAGACACAGATGATATAATCTGTGCAAGGAACGAAAAATCTGAGGAGAATGACCTGGCGAGTGCTGACGCACAGACGAAAAAGCTAAAAAAAATTCATATACTCCTTGTGGGACACGAAAAACGACATGAGCATATAAAGGGGCGTAATGCAGTCCCGCGTGAATGTTTTCATTTTTATAAATAGCAAAATCAGCGTTTACACTGGCATCCCACTACTGCACAACCGCAGAAGTTTTAAAGAACCTGATATAGGTCGATGAAGCGCTACCAGGGGAGACCTATTTGTACACCTTTAGTATGACTGTATTGCCCGAACGATGCCCAACGATGAATATACTTCCCGTACTGCCTTTTCCTACTTATTTCTAAATTGTCTAATGCGCCATGCAAAGTCACAGTGCGACAGTTTTATCAACATCTTTCACTGAGAGATAGTGCTGGAGTTCTCTGCCCGGCAGATAAAATTCGCTGGGATTTTTAAGATTTGATACACATCTGAACTCCACTAAAGAGTGTATATTTTTTGATTTTTTTCGCGCCAGGCTAGACACTCACCGCGCGCAGCTTCGGACCATCTTACAAATAGTATCCGATATCTAAACATTGAAGAGGGACTTCAAAAATGCTTGAGAATGAATTGAACCTAGGTTTTTTTCAGTAACACGGACCAGGCAGCAGGTTGGATAACTTGTGGCATCGGTAACATATGACAGGCATGATGCTGGGAAGAGGTCTGAATGACTGGTTTTCCGCCTGCTTCAAGCCTAAACCAACCCCGTAACCTAGCCACGGTATGACGAAGCTCTTGTGCCAAACGTTAAACATTACTCAAAAACAAATCTACCGACGGTTTTCAAAGCATTTCTGGTACGATGCTTTCTCGATCGGTTTTCGAAATGATGGACCTTGTGTTCAAAAAATTGGCGGGATTGAAGACAAACCGCGAGAACCACCGTGTATTCAGTTAGAGGTGCTTTGGGCACGATATATTTTCCACATCCCTGACTTTAAAGCCGCTGGACATGTCTGTCGTTTCCACCCAAATGACGTTCTTACCAATCAAGTTTTACTCAAACGACTGGCCTACATAACCACTCGTCACTTGACAGATATCCGCTACCTCGCGAGTCTATCCCGCCACGGTTTTCAGACCACAAATTCTCCCAGAGATTTCCAAATACAACATCGAAGTGACATAGGTGAAACTTACTCAAACTCAGCAATACATGGATGGACAAAAGGCAGATTCGAAAAACAGCTCCCCAGGACCCCAAATTGTTGTAAGGCCTCAGAAAGAAAGGATGTCACCCGTCAATTACTCCAGTGTGATTAATTTGTCGGATAGACCGTCGAGTAAAGAATGTTGTTTCTTATCACGCGAAAAAAATTCGTGAGGGAAGGGACTGGATTTCACAGTGGGCGAAAAGCAATAAGGGCAAGAGAAATTCTCCCTGATGCAAGGTGCATTGGGATTCAAAGTGATGGTTGCTTGAAATCTTCCCAGCTTTCCAAGTTTGTTATCGACCGACCGTCTACTTGGAGAGCTTTGCACCGTGTTACCAATTTTTTCTACAGGTAGGAGTTCCGGAGAGTACAGTCGATCATGACCAAGACGGTTAGGTCACTTTCTTCTCACCACATAGGCTGGCAAGGAGTGTACTAAACCGCATCACATTTTCCTAAGGCGAACTGGCTCACTTGTTTGTATGCGTACATTCGGTTGACACAGCTGATCAGTTTTCAACGGCTGCTGCTCTTGGTATGGTGACAAATGCACCAGTGCATACCTCACTGCGAACTGCTTGTCCGTCGATCTTTATATTTAGGGTCATTGGTGCCGGTCGGTTGTGAACATGGTCTGATACAGCCTAAAAACGGAATCTTGGTTATTCAGCATTCCTCAACGTGAAGCACACCCTTTTCGTGGAATGGAATGTTTCCCTATGCACATACGGACGGGGTGATCGGCTTCTTTCACAAGGGCGACATACAGTCTACTCGTGACGATAATCACTCGCGGAAGACTTGCGCGTCGTGGTTGTAGCTATGTAAATGAGTGCACGGTTTTTTTTGGCATTAGCCTCCGGAATCTTGGATACCGGCTCTATGAAATCAGATTGTTTGTTGACTAAACATTTACGGAGCTCTCAAAATGCCTTACAATTCTGCAGACCCAATCCGATTTCTGGCTTGTCCCGCCTTTCGATGATAAACGCTCACGAGCCCCTATAATCAGATACCGAATCTCCTCCTCGCATTTCTCTTCCTCCCTTTTCACAATTGCACCTATTCTTTCCTGTACTCTGCACTACCCCAATGTGAATGCACTCTCCATAGTTTCAAGCACTAAAATGACCACTTTGCTGGTCATTCACCACATCCAGATGCGGCTTCTGTGAGTCCTTCTCCAGTAACAACCCCAAACACCTTGAACTCAACAAATACACTTATTTGCACACTGACTTGGAAACTCACCTGAAGCTTAGCTGATTCATCAACTGGATGTACTGCATCAGACAGCTTCATGTTTCAGGTGGTACGATGTTCGATATTCAGCCGAAGAGTAATATCATAAACGAGAGATTCAGGCGAGTCTCTCGTGAAACCCGAATTGGTATGCAGATAGGTGTGGTTTTCTACTTTCGTGCAATTTGGGTTCAGGTAGGATATAAGGATGACGGAAACTCGGGGACTACGCTTGTCCCACGAGTTCAGAAAAGGGGGAAACCAGCTATCAGCTATCCAGTTTTCAGCAGCATTGAGAGTGGAGTGTAACCTCCACATCTAGAACTCAGTTTTCAAACACCTGGTCTCCTCAGCTACCCACACTAAATCAAGCAGGACAGCAGGCGGCTCTTGTATGTACGCTGAATTCCCTCTGCACTGGCTTATGCCCTCTTTCAGAAACAAGAATTCGAGACGCGAGTGTTGTGGTTAAACTGGTTGCCTTTAGTTCTAACTGCGCATATCTGGTGAAGCGGGGCCGCTGCAGCTGGCTATATCTAGGTGGGTATTGCTTTGAGCAATCGAGCGGAAGCGTCTCTGCTTTATTGAATACCCGCCTCTGCGCGGTTCGTTTGGCGACATTCAGACTACAGTATTGTGGTGAGACATGGCCTCTGTGGACAAATGATGCAAGATGCCTTCAGGTCTTTGACCACCGGTGTTTCAGAAGTGTTGCTAGTGTTGGATGGCGGCAGTGAATTGGTTGCGAGGTAATTCAAAAATGGGTGTCTCGCAAATATCTCAGACGCCGAAAAAATCCAACACCATCAACTGCAGTGGCTGTAAGATGAGGTATACATACAGGAACATCTTCAAAGAAGACAAGTGTTGTTTTCTGTACCTTATTTGAAATGGAGGAGACCGCGCGATGGACAGCGCACGAATTGGGAGAAAGGTGTGGGAGATTACGAAGGGTTTAAGTGTTGTTGATGCGGTTCGCCTTCCAGCATGGGATCCCCGTGGTCTCCCACGTGTCTGACTAGAACTATTACGAGAACGGCCGCTGATTGATATCAGTGGCTTTCGTGCTGACATTGCTCCATTGAACTCTTGAAGATGTAGGTGCCTCAGAATGCTTACGATAGACTGACACCAGGTCTTCTTCCTCACTCATTCTCTTCTTTTCACTCTAAAGCTTTAAATCTAATCAAACTCTGCCGTTTTACGGCAGTGAGGCACCAGCGTCGACACTGGTGTTGCTGTTTCTAGTGATGGTGATTCTGTTGTATAAGATTTTCATTTTGAAATTCTGCTTTAGGCTTCTGGATCCAACGAACGTAGTCATTCATACCCTCCTCGGAATTGTTGGAAGAGAGTGTGTGTATGTACAATTTATCTGCCGTATTTCCAGTGTGAAGTAGCTTCCGGGTTCGTTCTGACCAGTGTTCAAGGTATCTTCCTGTTAGTTATCAACAATAGACTTATAATGCATTGTGCATAGGAAGGAAGGAATAATTGTGGACTTGTCCCACTCCTTTCGTGTGCACAACATCACAGAGCACCCGCCGCACTCTTATGGGACGGTGGGTCTGCACCCGATCAGAAGACGCACAACGCGAAGAGAACGATAAGTTCTGCAACCACTCTGACCCATGTTACCTCACTTAAAATGGACGGTATCCAGTCATCATGCACATCAGGATCTTTACAAGTCTGAGTTAAAATATTCCTCCCTTAGGAAGACCTAAGTGGATTCAATGTAAAGGGCGATAAGGTGGCAACACAAATGGAAGCTACAAAAAGTTGCGTCTTGTGAAAATCCTAGTCATCATTTCAGCAATTAAATTCTAGTTTAGATTCCATGTAATTCAGATTTTTTGTTCTGAAACATTTGAGCCGCACGTAGGGCGAAGTGGACACCAGGAAGCCACTATTTTTTCTTATCACATTCCATCTGTCCCTGTAAAGTCTATATTTAGAAGCTCTGCTACAGAGATAACAAGTCGATACGTTCAAAAACCGAAGGTATGTTTGCTCAACTATCAAGAGAGTTTCTCGCGGGAGTCGTTCAGACTCTACCATTCTGGCACAATTCGGTCGGGTGCAAAAAACGATAATTTCAGCACCACTAATGCAAAATGTGGCCGGCAAGGTCGCCGATAAACTCACCGAAAAAAGTTTGTCAATGAAAGCCTGGTGAAGAATGTAAATAGGATCATTGGTTGCAGTAGCCGTTCTTTGCATAGATCCTTCAATCATATTGTGTACTTTGTTGTTAATCCAAAGACCCTTCGAGTCGGCTCCCGGGCGACCGCAGAAACCCTCGAGTGCCATGTGAAATGACTCGCAACGCGGAGTATCACGTTCTCCACTGATGAAGTAGCTGAAAAGGGTAATGGTTTGACAAGCATGACCTCTCTGTTCAATCCAGCGAGTTCAAGGATGATACTTTGCACTCTTCAGCCGCTACGGCTTGTGGACTATGCAATGAAATAAACTAGCCTGGGTAGCTGTACCCTATTCTCAGACTAACCGTCTCACAACCCAGAAATAACGACTATGGCAAAAATACTACCGCTCGAAGCGTGACCTGGGAACCACCGCCATCGCAGTTCAACTGAACGAAGTACTGGTGTGCTGCGCGGGGCAGATGGCGTAAATTATGCGACGGACAATCAGCATATCTTGTGTAGATAGATCGAACTTGTCGTAGAAAACAATAGTAAAACACGAACGTAACGTGAATACTCGTTATGTGAAGGCTGAACCACAATATGTGCTTCAAAATTACTGTTAACTGTTCGACTTGTACCGAGGAACAATATATCCGCGAATAGCAGACTGTGAGTTGGTGGTTCTTAGGGAACCTTCATTTCACATTGAATAGAAGTTGTTTCCAACAGAACTGGTTGTAGCAGTGAAATGTCAAACCCAAGGGTTTTAGACAGTCCTTGTTATCCTACGCACTAAGTGTGAATCAGACCTGTATTTGATAATATACCAGTTGTGAAAGGCTTATAGACTCCCATGAGACTGCGATGGCCGCAACAAATGCACAAGTAAACGCATCTTAAATTTCGCTTCTCTCGTTAGTTTCATAGTGAACTTTACATATTAGTCTATGGTCACCGCCTAATGATCCAAAAAAAACTTGGCTACCTGCTTAATGCAGGTTTAATTAATTTAGAATTATCAGATTCCGCGCATTTTATTCCATTTGACGTGCCTTAATCCCATGCTTCTGTGAAAACTCCGTGGCAATAAAGAACTCATGAAGTTCTAACGTGTTTCGGATATGAACAGCTTTCGTCAGAGGTTGCCAAAAAAGAGTTTGATAGCAAAGGGTCAGTACCAAGATTATCCACTCAGTTTCGAATAAGCAAAAAGATAGTTGAGTCCCATTTCATACTACGAAGACAACTTAGCTTCCACATCACGTGCGCTTTCACAAAAGACTAAATCCAAGTCCAATGATGACAATGAACGCACATCACACCTTAATGCAATGGGCCTATAATACTCCGAAGTTGGGACGAGCCACTCATTGTTCAGCTTAACTAGCATAACCAGTTATTTATACTGGGTGATTTCAGTGTGACCTTCAGGAATTAAGTTGCCTTTGATCGAGCGAAATGCACAGCTGTACGCAAAAAACATATATCGGTTCTAGGAAAAGATAAATAAACCGAAAGTACAGCAGATAGCTGTAACTTTGACCATGTTTGAAATGGTTCACCGAAATCAGTTAGCACTAGTCGAATCTGAACGGAAAGTCAGGTTGCTCAGCTGTTACAGATTTCCTGTGCATAACCAGAAGTATCTGGGGGGGGGGGAACAAGGCCGAACAAACACCGTCCAAACGAGGGCCCGGGCTGTACAACAAGCGCTCCACCAGCAATTTCGTCCTCCGATTCCGCTAAAAAATCCCACGTAAACGATCGAAAATTATTAGCATGTTTTCAAGGTGCCGATGCACCGCGATAACGATTCTTTCTAGAGTTCGTATATAAAAAAGATGGAGTTAGGAAGGTCAAGGGCTAATTTCACCAACTGAATCAAAATTAAGTTCAAGATATCAACAAACAACAAAAGTAACTCACTTTTTCAGACCAAGCATAAAGCCAATATCAGCCTGAGTTGGAAACACTTCGCTCACGAATCTTCTCACTAGCTTACCAACCCGACCACCGGCCTGACAGCCAACACAGAGTGCATCTGACTTCGGATACCAGCAGTAATTGGTCGCGTTGTAAAATATCGACCTGGGATCTAACCGAATACCATCTTTGTCTTTTTTGCCAGGTGCTCCGACGTACTTATTATCACAAATATCACATTTCAACAGTCCCACCCAATCCCAGTAGGGGAGTGCGAAATTCTTGATTCCGTGCGCCTTCCATGCAATTTCAGCTAGCATACGTTCCCAAATAAGCATTAAATAGCGATGCCACGTGGGGAATGTTGGTCCGTCATGGTTAAAGTCCAAAATACCATATTCTTCGCACTTGTGTCTGGTGTTGTACAAAGTAGTCCTGGAAGCGTAACTATTCACGAAAGTGATGTAATATTGAACACTTGCAGACAAAAATTTTGGATGGTTGAGAGGGTCCGATCTCATGTTCGTAGATTCGTCAAGAATCATGTAATTTGAAGGCCACGACCAACTTCGAGTCAAAACATCTTTGAAGATATTCAGTTCGTCTGGCGAGTAAGTTCGGATATCTCGTCGAATTCGCTTCTCTGGTTGATCGCAGTTTGGACCGGTCCAGCCGAACCAACATTGCTCGCACGCCACACCGAAGAAGTGACCGGTACATTGGCAAGCATATTGAATAAATCGAGTGGGCCACTCAACACGATCATCCACCCACAACACTTTAGGTATGCTCTCTTTTCCAGCTGCAATATGTTGGCAGAAACCCCGACCCGAACCACCACAAATCATGCCATTGTGAGGATTTTTGGGACAGCACATTTGTCCGTGTACGGTCACATTTTTCACACATTCAGATGGAATCAAAGCCTGAACATGGGATAACCAACAAAGAACCAACACAGTGACAGGAACAATGGTTCCTGCTACCGTATACCGCAAAGTTGACATACTTTATCTGCGGCAGTTATGTGCTCTAGTGAGCGTTTGATTAAAGTGCACCCGGTTATACGAGCACGTATTTAGCTGCGCACAGAATCGATCATAATTGCTCGGTTTTATCGCCTATTAATGATGATGATGACACAGTTGATTCGATTGAACTGTCCGTACCCAATAGTTTGGCGATCTGCCTGTATTTCTTTGGTTTGTGCGACATGCAGTTATATCAACTTCCAGTATACACATAGTGTCGCTGCTTCCTGGTGCAAATACAGTTAAGGGTTGTATCAATGTTGACAAATCAATTGATGTTAATGGCAGCAGAGATCTTAAGAGGTGCACAGGTTGAACTTGGTTCATTCCACTAACCTAACAAAGTGCGCTGTTGGGTTCGAACTAGGAGTAGAGAACAGAAGACTCTCCCCCGAATATCTCATTTGTCTCAGCTTCACCGTAGCATTTCGAATGGGTATAAATGGATCAGTTCATGATCTTTTGGTCGGTGTCTCGTGCCATCAACCACAGCAACTGGCCATATTTGTGTGGATAGTTAATGAGATTAATAGATTTTGACTTGTGTTGCGTTGTAAGTTTCTAAATCATTTCTGGAGACAAATGGTTGCCCAGAAGTAGTCAATTTATTGAACCTAATTGGCTGATGAGTCGGAAGCAAAACTAACCAGTTGGAAATAGTGATCTTTAGATGCGTGAACTGCAGGTTATCAGTGTGGCTTATCAGCTAAGGTTCACGCTAGTAACCAATGTATGCCTAGCTAATGAGCCCCAGACGATGACCGAGTTTTGTTTTGACCGGACAATTTGTCCCCCAATTCCTAACTCGATTTTATCAGTTTATTTTTGAAGTAACCGTATAAGAATGTAAATTCGGAATGGCATATCTTATTTCGATCCCACATTTTGTGGTAGAACTTCTTACGATTGATTGCACTTAAACTGAACCCATGTTACCCTGTACGAGCTAGACATGCGATCTGAATGATCCATAGAATTGGAATCTGCTGAACTGATTGATCATAACTGATTGGCTCAAATTAGACTCAGGTCAAATAATGGCTTGTTCACTGAGTAAGCCGTTCATATAAAAGTCCACCTTGAAAAATAAATCTCTCTGGGTTCACCTGCTTCATTGCTTGCCACGGGCCTTAAGCAACCACACTAGTGGTGCGNATATATAATTGTCGACGTCACTGTCGTCTGATCAGTCTTTCTGCAGTCCTGAAGCGATTAACATGGCTGGCGGACACCAGAATTAGGAAGTACTAAATTCTGGTTTCCTTTTTATAAAAGTTCATCATCAGGTCATATCCCTGACCACGTCCGGATTTGAACTCCAGACCTGTGACATTTATCGACAGCATGTTCGCAACTATTCCAGTGGGGCTGTTGTTCGCCCACCCAGACAAGCTATGGACTTTGTCATGAGTGAGGAAGAACAGCTGTGACTGGTTAACTAAGTGAATAATATAAACGAAAGATTCATTCGAGTCTCTCGTCAACGCCAGTGTGACGAACTACCTCCAATTCGGGTTCATGGGTTTGGTGGAAACTAGTGAGTCCCAAAGAGGTCGAAGCAGGTAGTGAGCTATCGAAGGATTTCCAGCAACCTCACAAGTAAAGCGTTACATTGAGTTGCAATTTACTATAATACGAGCCACCAAGTTTTAGACAAGCAGAGTATCAAGAAACAGTGGAAAAATATGTTTCAAATGGGATGCCTACCTCTCTAGAGTTCAGCTTCTACCGGCGGTTCGTCTAACTTATTAACAACTCACTAGTTTTGCGAAATTTTGACAATATAGTTGCTGATCGATAGGGGCGAATCGTGTCTTTGCTTTAGGGCCGACACCCAAATAAGTCTTGCTCCTAAATAGGGAACCGTCTGAGAGTCAGTTTCACCGCACTGACCAAACCCAAGGCAATTTTTCATACTAATTCTCCATAAACCGCGAAAAAATAAAATGCGTGAAATCTGGGACCGAAAATGCGGAGAGCACACAAAACTTCAATGATCCCAACTCTATAACCCGAACTGTATAACTGCATTTTTCAGTCGGTTCTCAGTTCTCATCTATAGTGCTTACAATCCCACTGAGGATGTAAATGTTCAAATGCCCGCAAAACGTTGCACTCTGACTCATGATAGACTGGAGTACATGATGAGCTGGTTTTCTCAGCTAGACACCTGAATAACCATGTGATCGGAAATGCTGCTCGAAAACTTCCGTTGCTCAGATTGTGCTATGGACCGTGATTTCAGTGTCTAATAGTTGCGCATATACGATTTCCTTTTGTTTCGAGCCGAGTAGAGCAACTACTTTCAAGTCTAACTGAATCATCCCGTACAAATGCGGGTGAACCGATGGCAGCTGGCTTCAAAAATGTGTACAAATCGAATTTCGAATTGAACAAAATACATAAAGACGCCCGGATTAGGAGTTCAATCCTACCGATTTATCCGCATTCATGTTTTCACCCAGAAGTTCATGCTGGTAGGTCGAAAATTCTGGTTTCATCGCCACTGTGACGTGTATTGCAATGACCGTGCATGTCAGGATGGCTGGATTTAACGAACTGGATAGGTCATCGAGACATGTGCATCCAAGTTATCCGTACTGGTACTGTCAGTATACCGATTAAAAATGATACATCTCCCGAGCTTATGTAAACCTTCACTTATTTAAGAAAGCATTCAACCTCAATTCACATGGTGAACATGGGTTGTAGTGTTTACAAGTGATGCGAAAAGGATTCTAGCAGCTTTAGAAAAGCTTCAGTACGCTGGATTGTGAATCCATTTTCCTCTTTCTCGATAAGCTTCGAAAAGGTCATTCTCATGTGGGGACCGTTGGTGTATTTGAATCAACTATTTGCCAATCGCAATTTAGTGGTTCGATTCCCTATCAAACGCAACAGTCTCACATTCGTCAACAGACTGGCTGTCCCGGTTGTCGGTGTAATCGTTGCACTTTAACTGGTCAGCTCCGGGAAGTTTACAAACTGTGAGCCAGTAGATCAAACTGACTAAGGATCTGCACGAGGCGATGAGGGTTACCTTTAACCCCGTGTCGGATAAAAGTATGGAATGATACGATGTAGTGTGTATAATCCTCATTCTGGTAGTGTTGGAAAAAGGATTCAAGGAACAACTACCGAAATTGGTGAAAGATATCACAACTGTTTGATGTTAAAAGGCAAAGACTAGCGTATAGTATGAAAATAAGAGAAACTGTCTCTGATCCCTTCAGAAAATAGTCGAAGAACCTTTCTACTGGGGCGGAGCTAGATGAATAAGTCAGCTGGATTCGAAATGACACATTTGCAACGTCGTCGATGACGCTCGTCGCCAGAAAAAGAACACAAAAAGAGTTTGTTAATACGATATTGTAATGATACTGTGATGACGACTCCATGTCACTCAAGCAACTGCACTCGCTTCCTGAGAATAACAATTCTCTTTGGAAGAGGGAGGTCAGGCAAAAGCACGTTTTGAGGATTCCTCGGAAGAGAGGAGAAAACCGTAGGATCACTTGGATGCGAAAGGTCGATTTCAGCCTACAGGATAATGGGCTAGATTGTCCGGTGGCACCATTATGGGGGAACCTTCTTATCTTTGGCACATTATCTCTAATTATAGCCATATATGGGTGAATGCTATGGGCAGTGAAGGCGTAAAATTGACCTCTAGTTATTTTCAAATAGTGTTTTTTAGCCGATCATTTAATGTGGTAAATCTTCAAGCCATTCGCGCTTGGAGGGTCCTTGCTCGTACGCGGGATTCCTGCCTGCTACTCTTGTTCATCCTCAGTCTATCTAGAGGCGAAGGTGCATAGGTTTTTGCTGATACCTCCCTACAATATTGGTGGCCACACTGCGTTCAAGAGGTGCATAAACGAGTGGGGATGTTTCTGAGGAAAAAATATATTTCCCACACTCTCAACTCCTTTTCCAAGTTTAAAAGCTTCATACGTAATATTAGATGGCCTTATATTTGAAGACTTTTGTGGGACATCTGTTCACTCACATTCATGCAGTTTTCGTAGTGATTTGTTCCCCTGAGACAGTCGCTGCCTGCTCCAAGAATTGTAACTGTCTGCTTGCTTGCTCGCTTGTCCCATCGAATAGCGACAGACTATCCCTCGGTAATTCTTGTGCATCTTAAGCATGCTCCGCACAACTCAACTGCAGATGGCTAAATACAAAATCGCGCCCAAATTTGGTCGGATGAAGAGTTGGTGCATAAGGCCCTAGATGCATCAACGTAGCAGATCGAGAACACTTCCCGTAAGCGCGAACGGCGTGGCACATTATCATTCAAGTACTGCGGAATCCATGGTTTTGTACTATTAAACTGGAATTTCCGTGGAGTGAAGCGACTCGGTTTTGATCGATTTGCTGGAACACAACAACCAGACTACAGATAGCCTCCTCATGGAAATCGAAGGAAGACTCTCGCATTCACCGGTTATGAAGTTCGCTTGAATCTGGGTCCATATCAGGAATAAATCTTAGCAAGTAGTCGGTCGATATTGCACCAGTGATGTACAGGTTCATCCCTATGCTGCTTGCCATAAAGGCGCAAGTTGGTATGCTTTTATTGTTTGAATGCAGAACAGTTTAAAAGTGGTTTATTCAAACGTACCTTCGTTTGAACTTCTTGTTCCCAGTGGAATTCTTGGACTCAGAAAACGGGTTCAATATCTTCAAGCTAAGTAGAGGGCAACATGGATGTCTTGGCAGTACTCACTTATTTTATTCTACAGCCAGTCTCAGGCTGCAACGCTGCGGTTGTCATTTTTAATCCAGCTACCCACTTCGTCCGCCTTTACCCCATTCGCAGTTTGTTTCCGTCTGGAATAGCATAACCAGGATCCTAGGATTTTCGCCAAGACGATAAAATCTGCTCTTCTACACCAAAGAGCGACACTGTTCCTCACTTTTGTTAAATGCTTTTCAAACCATTCCTCCTGTATATCAGCGGGGTAATTTGTG